CGTCTTGAGAAGCGGCAGGAGCAGTTGGACAGATCCTGCCGGAGAGATAAGATATCGTACTGCAAGCGAGACCTACAGTACTGGAGCGAGGGAATCGTGACGCAACGACCAGAGAAACGGGCCAGGAGTGCAGTATCCACCAGTGCAGTATCCACCAACACCTCTTTTTTTCTTTCTTCAAACCAGCTTTTCTCAAAGCCACCATGTATACAAGGGGTACATTTCTAGTACATACCATTGCGGGGTTTTCACTCAATAGCTGCATCATTTCTGTGTATTTTCCTTTGCCTAGTCTACGCCAAGCTCGGTGCTTCAGAGTGCTTTATTTAGAATATAGGCATGTGTGGTTGGGTCAAAGTAAATGCGTACTTTTCAACGACAATCAGAGAAGAGGGACAAAAAGAAGATAGTAAGTAGTGTTCAGTTTTGTAATATCAGTAGGTCAAACAGGAGATGTACGTCTAAATACGCTGTTTAACGAGCCAGATAGTGCAAACTTCGTCACATGTCTTCTTCTTTTAGACAAGACAGTCTGTTGTTTGTCCCTGATGTGTACTGTTGCATCCCACTTCAGTCTGTTGTGAAGCCGTATAGGGAACTTCACTTGGCACCCGTCACCCAGACGATCATCAGAGCGTCAGTAGACGCTCTATGTAGAGATGGCGCGGATGAAATCTCACGTGATCCGCGTATAAAACTCGGTGACAACTCCCAGCTTTTGCCTTGAAAACACACCATAAGCGACTCCCGGGCCCATATCTAGCTACACATACCTCCAGAATTATTTTACATACCTGTATTTTGCAAGACAAGAATCCGCTCATACGCGTTTTCACAATTCCTGTGTCATCAGCATCATATTCTTCTTTAAACCCGCTATCTCGTGGAACTAGTTGATGCGCCAAATTTGTCACTAATCGTCTCCTGCGGTGGTGAAGATGTGCATCATCTTGAAGTAATCGGTTTTTTATCTTTTCGCCTAGCGCTACGAAAGATAACTGGCTGAGAACACAACAGACAGAAAAATACGCCATTTTCACGGTTGGAGGCTGCGCTGAGAGCCAGCGCAGCCAGCCCGCCCAGGACGCCCACTCACGTGCTAGCGCTTCATCGCTATTATAAGGACCGCGTGGTCGCGGTGGCCCCTCGCTCTCTCGTCGTTGAGCTCCGCTTGGCCGTCGTTTATGCTAGTGAACCTCACGTTTTCCCCGGGTGTCGACTGTTGCTCCCGAGTCTGATTACCACACTATCCACCGTGGCTGAGCTGGACGTCGTGCCACGCCCTTTTTGTTTAGATGTAAGTATAGTTACATAATTATGACTACCATCCAGTATTATGTATTTATTACACTCTTATAGCTCTCTATTCTACTGGCCTCTGCTGCTACCAAATTTTATTTGTGGAGTTGGGGCCACAGCTACTCTTATTCTATCGAAGGTAACCTTTTCAAATTGTGTGCATTCCCTGATGGCGAGGTGGCACTTCAAACTCCTTCCGTGCCTGGGTGTACCCACTGGCCCTGCTGCACTTTACAGGAGTTTGTGTACCCCGTGCCTGTCTTCCAAAACTTCTCCTTCTACTTGTGACAGTTGGCGTCATAGTAACGCAACCACTGTGTGCCTGTGTCCTGAAGCTTTTGTATTCTCGACCTGTGGCGACCACTAGTTTTCCTGACAGTAACAGTGCTTTTAATCGAAAATCTGCCGTCCACTGCACTCCTCGGCTGACTATCGTTGCTGCCACCCGGGCTTCTTCCTTTGCTGTACCTCGTGCCTGCATCGCAAACATCCTTGTCGGTCTGCTACTAATGATCACCGTGATAACAACACAACCACACAACAACCACTTTCGTCCTCTAGCGACTACTACTTTTTGGACACTAAAAGGAACACCCCTGCTTCCAAAACCTTCCCTCCGCTGACTGTCGTTACTGCAAATGCCGTACAGGTCAAAATAAAAAAGGAGGGAATACTTTAGCAGATATTATGTTCAGAATTCAGAGAATTTGAAGGCTAGAGGTAGATCCCTTTATCAGTCAGACCCAGATAAGATAAAGGCTGTGGCTAGGACCTCCTACCATAGTGATCCTGATAAGAAAAGGACATCTATTAGGGCCTGTTATCATGCAAAAAAAGGCTGCTGTTAGGGCCTTGTATAAGTTGGACCCTTTGAAGAAAAATATTGCTGATAGGGCTGCATATAGAGAAAATTCAGACAGACGAAAGGCTGCTGCAAAACCCCGCTATGATGCAAATCCTGGACTGAAGTGTGAGCTAGCAAGGCAGCTTATAAAACCAACCATGAAAAATTTAAGGCAATATTTCGTGAGTATTATGGCTCACACCGTAGTGCCAGGCTCCTAGCTATGTTTCAACAGTACCATAAATCATACCGTAGTCCAGGCTGGCATTGTTTCAACAGTACCATGCCTCAAACCATAGTGCGATGTTAAGGTACTTCAGAAAGTCCCACAGCTATACCAAACTAAAGAGAGTTACAAAGGCTAGATACAGTTTGGCCCAGCCTAACCAACTCGCAATTGAAAACTTTTATAGGAGCGTCAAGGCCAACCTACTAGCTGATGGTGAAGTTTTGTTGAAACTCAAGGAGGAGTTCAAGTCCCTGCGTGCTGGTGTAGCAGATACACTGACCAGAGCAGAGTTGCAACAGACTGTGGGTAGACTGGCAGTTAAAAAACGCGTTTGCAAAGCCTTGCAAATACGTAGGAAGCATGCTGGGTTTTTGCTAGCTAGCATTAAGCTGATTAAATCTATCCTACTTAAGAACGCAATGATTTTGGAAAGGGCTGCCAGTAGTTCTACAGAGCCCTTCTATTATGAGGCAGCCTACCTGCATGTTAGAGATCCCCCAATCCCTGTTAATGAGGGAGGGAAGTGTGTTGTTGCAAAAGAAGTTCCCATAGGGGTTGGCACTAAGAATGAAGAGAGTAAAGATGCTGCCTCCAACAGTAACCCTTCTCAGGCTGGGAGTGTGGGTTGTGGTTCAGATGGGAAAGTTTCTGATAAGGCACCTGCCGAGTCTAAGATGTGGGAGTGCTCAAAGCAGTGCAAACCTCTAAGTGAATTTGAAGTCAGTGCCATTTTAAGTTTTAGCACAGCTTTTGAACAGCCTCTAGAAAAAGTCAGGCAAGCTTTGGCTCAATGTGATATGGGTTGTCCCTATGGTCACTACACCAAAGTAGTAGGTACTGTGCCTGTGGACCTTACTCTGGTGACTATTGTACTTGTAACCTGAGAATACTCAGAGCAGCTTCCACTCATTTCCCTGTTTTGAGGATGTTTTTGGCCCATGTAACGGCTGCTCTGATTGCTCATATGATATTGACAACGCTTTGAAGAACGGTAACCACCAGAGATTGCTACAAATCACCCAGGTTGAGTGCCTCCTGAGTTGTAATGTAGAGCAGAATTATCAAAAACTCACTCCTGTTCAATGCTCAGCTCTTAGGAGGCCTAATAGTGCGTAGGACTTCACCGCAGGGATCGTGCCTGTTGCTGGAGTAGAAGTGGTGTATGGCTGTGTCATTGTTCTTCTCAACACCTATGATGGTGATGTCAACTCTCACAATATTTCATTTACCCTGTCCTGAAAACTTCAACAGGTTGCCATGTATACACCATACAATGGATGTATGGTGTCACGAACTTCTTTTGGAATCCTTCCAGCCTCTCTTCATGTCCAAGCTTCAGGAATTCCTCCAACCACAGTTTTCCCTAGCAAAATACGATGTAAGTATGTACGTTATATTTTACTACCTTGGTGTGTATCTCGTCAGGAGAGGGAGCCTCTGAACAGATGAGTTTGTACAGGGCCAGAAAGTTCTGCATGTTAATGTGTTCGTTGCATGGTAACAATGTAACTGTAGCTATATACCTGAGGAGAACACCAATCTTTGCTGCAGTGTTTGCTGAAAAGATGGAGTGTGGCTCTTCTGCTCCTCCAGCTGCTGCCTAGTCTCCCTCTCCTGATCCTCCACTCTCCTGAGTTCCTCCTGATATATTTTGTGCTGAATTTTACGCATCATTATCGAACTTTTCATATGTACCTCGTTCCTCTTCCTGTAATCCCCTCACTTGTATCATTTCTCCTTCCCAACCAGTATATGTCTCCCCGTCCCTCAACCTGTCCCTCTCACGTGCTATAAAATGGTAAAATATTCGGAGCGCGCAGTGCAGACGTCCATGACTGAGTAGACTCCATCGACGTTTCTTGGGATGCCAATAAACTTTGAATAGCCAGCTACAACAGACATCCCAACCCAGCTGCGATGAGCTACCGGGCGGTGGCGGTCATAGTATAAACCTAACAAGGCTAGCTATCCCTCCACTGCCAGTACCTGCCCTGCCTGGACTAATAACTTCAGGCATTACGCCTCGTAGAGCCGAAGTTCGTGGCAGGTTGGCCCAGCCCATGCAAAGGTTACGCAAAGGTCGGTGGTGGCGGTATATTTGCGGCTGTTCAACGGCCGAGAGTAAACAATGGCCGAACGCGTGGGAGTTGCTGGCACTACAGCACTAAGTGCATTTTTGGGTTCCCCTCTGTACTCTAGTCCTTCCAAATGCGCTGTTTCTCCGCTTGTATGAGGAGGTGCAAAGGGAGGCCCATTTTGGCCGCTATTGGGCACCCCTGCCCCAAAAAAAAGTTTGAGGCCTGTTGTCCCGCGCGTATGGCATGCCATCAGTATCAAAAATCGCAACGACTCCGGGGTCGGCGCGATTTTTGTGGGGTCGACCTGAGAGCTCTTAGGTCGTCCGGAGAGCTCTCATGACGCCCTGAGAGTAAAATAACTCCTGAACGTTTGTCTAACTCTCAGGTCGACCCGGCCACTCTGGGGTCGACATGAGATCGTTCAGGACCCCCCAGTTAGTTAATTGCGCATGCGCGAAAAGTGAGCACTTATTGGAGATGGACGACGAAGGAGACCCTGTGACCTGGGGATGGGACGAATACTTCTCCGATCTCGCCCGGTTTTTAGGAGAATTGGGGCGACAAGCTGGTATCTCAAGCGTCCCTTATGCGGAGTATGCCATAGAACGTCTCGAAATGTGTGAAGGCGTTTGTAGGCACCTGGTGGCAGTTCTCGATGCTGGTGAATCAGTTGTCGAGGGTGAAGAGAGTGCTATAGTTGAAGAATATCGGCATAGGTTTTTGGCGCTCAATCGACTACTCCACTCTCTTCGAATTCAGTGGCTTGAATATTGCACTGCCGTCGAAAGTTCTTCTGCCACTTTCATATCGTGCCCCCCTTCTCTACCAACCTCATCAACGGGGTAGACCCAGCTTTTTGATCCCACAGGAACAACTGGAATATCTCCGCTCACTTTCTTTTACCTGGGTTGAAATTGCAGCCCTTTTCGGAGTGTCACGAATGACTGTCTATCGACGCCGCGTCGAATATGACATGGTTGAAGACCCGAGAATCGTACCTGATGACTCTGAGCTGAGACGTCTTGTTGAACAGACACGCCAGGAGCTGCCTTATTTGGGAGAGGTTATGGTTATGGGACGGTTGCGTGCATTGGGCTACTATGTGACACGATCACGTCTTCGCCAGGTCATAAATGACACTGATCCTATCAATCGAGCCCTTCGATGGGGAAGCAATCTGCATGTTCGTCGTCCATACTCAGTCCCTGGCCCTAATTCCTTGTGGCACATAGGTAAAAAATATGATATGGTTAATAACCAAAAAGCTGGCCATATCAATAAAGTAGCTACTCACTGCAGTATTTCTGCATGTAGCTAACACTGTTTATTTTGTTCCTTTGCAGATGGACATCACAAGTGTGTTCGTTGGCGGTTTGTCACACATGCAGGAATTGATGGGTACAGTAGAATGATTGTGTTCATGCGATGCAGCACCAACAACCGTTCCTCGACAGTTCTAAACGCATTTTTGGAAGGAATTCAGCGATTTGGTGTACCATCTAGGGTGAGGTCTGATCATGGCGGGGAGAATATGCATGTTGCTCGATACATGCTCCATAATCGTGGTCCAGACCGTAATAGCATGCTAGTTGGAAGTTCTACCCATAACCAACGAATCGAAAGGTTATGGAGAGATTATCATGCCTGTGTGACAAAGCTCTACTACCGTCTGTTCTACTTTCTTGAAAGTCAGGGTATGCTGGAGCATACCAATGCGGTGTGTCTATATGCGCTGGAGTATGTGTACTTGCCCAGAATAAATCGTGCCATTGACTGCTTTGTCCAGGGTTGGAATAGTCACAGCATTCGCACTGCACAACATCTCTCTCCTCAACAACTGTTCACACAAGGGGTCCTTCGCTTACAACATTCGGGTTTGGTAGCACTGGATTTTATGGACAATGTGAATGACTCATATTATGGTGTTGACACCAATGGGCCTATTCCCCCAGACGATAATGTGGGATCTGTTAGGGTGCCAGAGAATAATTTGCATTTTTCAGATGAGGTGCTTTCTCAGCTACGAGCAAGTGTGGACCCACTAGCCGAGAGCAGCAATCATGGAATTGAACTCTATGAACAAGCACTCTCTATACTTTCGCAATAAAATGTACTGTTGACAATCATCACAGTTTTATGTAAATTCTGTTATTGCATGTGTATGTAGCTACCGTGAGGCTTACAAGTTCAACACTTAAACATTTTGAGCAGCATATACAATACACAATCATAATACAATTACGACTCCATATAAATGCATGCAAAGCGTATAATACTTCTCAGTGACATAAGAAGCACTACACAGCGTCCATGTTCCATAGATTATCCTGCTGGCAAGTATTGAGAACGGAAGAAAACTCTTGAGCAAAATCTGAATATGAAGCGTATGAAGTAGATAGTTCAAGTGTGTACCCACATGTATGGGCCACAGGTCTACGAGCCAATCCCTCCAGATTGTTGAAAGTAACAAGAAGTGGATTTGCTGTACAAACAGAAGATCCTGTCACAAACCGTAAGAAAATTTGCAACTCTTCCTGCCGCATGTTTCCTATGTACTGGCGTAAGTACGACAGCACAACTTCCTCCTTTGGTGTAGAAGGTGATAATTCGCTTAGCATACTCAGCACTTTAGCAGTGGAAGCTTGCATAGACCTGTACAAGTCATACAAATCTCGGCATCTCATGGCTTTCCAAAACCGTTGATGAACCGAGGGTATTCCTGCACGAACATCATTGATAAAGGCACAAGGCTTTCTGAGGAACAGATAGTTCGAAATATCACGAACAACATGGGAGAAAGTGCCTACAGATGGTGCTTGCCGGCAATCAAAACAACTGAATACTGTTAGTAAATTTGTTTCAAGAGATTCTGAAAAAGGCTCCTTGAACTCCACCTTTCTGCATGCTGATTGAATAACAGCTGAATCATGGGCACTAAGTATGCCAGCAAATGAATCAACCATGACATGATCAGGTAAGTCATGGGATTTTGCAAGCAAAATTGCAGCAAGGGTAGGAAATGCTATGCGAACAGGAAGGACAGCAGAAAGGAGATAACCACAAGATATAACTAGCCCAAGTGTTTTCAGTTCTGATGTTTTCACATGAGGGTTGACAACAGGATAAAGGAGCGACACACCATCGCAATACTTGGCATAAACAGCATCATAAAACGCAGAAAAAAAATCTCGAGAGACACCACCCACATCAACTGCTCTCTCTCCCCTAAAACGAATTTGCAAGGGGTACTCCTGTAAGATTACTTCTCGATTCATTGTGAACAGTGTCATAACACTGGAGTAAATATTCACTCTTTCAACTTCATGTGATACGCCCTCCTTCAGGGACAGTGAGCACACAAACTTCATACGGCAAGAATCAGCTGAAAAATAGATAAATAGCAATTCCCTGTAAAAATATTACGCCTTTACACTGTGCTAAAACGACTACATTTTGTATATTATAAGAGCTAGCTAGCTAACAAGTTCAATACAGCACGAGGCACAGCAAGGCTCATACAGTACGGCACCTTACAAAAACACTTCTGTATGAAAAATACAGAACTGGCGGTGCCTTTGATCAACCCATGCAAAATCTAGTAGAGCTAAACACTGCAAATACTCACCATTCTCCAATACACCCATCTCATCATCTTTTGGTTTCCAGATTTTTGGAGTGTTCTGTGATTACAAAAGGAAGTAAGCTGTAAACTCTTAACCCCCTCCCAATTCAAGGCTATAGAAACAATATCACAGAGTAGCCATGATTGTATATACTTATTGACTTCTGACCAATCAGATGCATGGAAAAGTGTGCATTAAATCACGCAATGTACACTTCAGTGTGCAATAACCAGATAGTGCACACTTCTTCTGACAGGTTTGCTGTGCTTCGACGCTCGATTGCCCATACATGCCCACGTTGTCTGGAGGGAGGTCTACGGGGCTAAGGCAGAACATCGTTACTCACATTGTAGGCATCTTTCGACACAGGCGGTGCGTAGAGCTTGGCCACAGCACAACTGGCAAACTGTCTCTGCTCCACCATTTGCAACACCGCGCAAACTAACGATGACCGGCATTCTCGTGCACACACATTAAAAAACTAAAAGTTAGCTAAGTGTGTTAATATAACTATTACTTACACTAGGGAAATTAGGTAATTCATCCAAATCTGTATCAGAACTCTCTTCAACACTGCTTGACAATTTGACAGGCTGTGAATGATGGAAAACAGAATAATAACTGGATGTTTAGAAAATTCTCCACTCTAACCTTAGGGTCTTGATACACATACACAGCTCCCCTTTTCCCGCAAATATCATCTCCACCCAGCTGCACAATAGACGACTCAACAAGCTTGTTATCCTTCATGGCACAAAGAAAATGGATAGGTCCATCATGACAAACAGACTTAAACCCTCGGTGAATTTCTTCCTGCACTTGCAAAGACGTCATTGTTCGCTTAAAAACCAGACTTTTCATGCGACCTTCTTTACTTAGAGACACCTTTAGGCCTCTCTGCGGCACACGACCGCACTTTTCAGCGAAAAAGATGACATCTCGGCTTACTGGCCTCACAACACACTTTTTCTTTCTTTGAAACTCGGAATTGCTTGATTCAGCCATCGGATCAAACGCCATAGGACGCTTGCGTGAAATCGAAGAACTCGAGCTAAACAGCTTGGCCAGAACATTCTTTTCCTTTTCTGTCCGCTTTGTGAAACCAGAGCACACTTGGGCTGCATCAGTAACATTATCCTACAAAAATAACATTCAAATCCAGTTGCTTTAGCTCACACTACTAAAGTCACCTTCTGGCTCTCTTCAACAACTCGCAAGACAGACCTGTCTGGTACATCAGCTTCATCCTTTAAATCGACAAACGCTCCATCCCAATCTTCGGATTTTATTTGCAGGACAAGCCTATCAGCGACGCTCTGGTCAGTCGACGAGCTACTCCGCGGCAAAACGTCCTGATATTCATTGACGATAGCTAACTTTAAATCATTTACGGTTGCGTCGTTTGCGAGGGTTACAGGCCTCTTCCTCTCCCCGAAGCACACCAGAACACACTTCGTTGTCGTAGCCATGGCGGCAAGTTAGAGGCCACGTGGAAAATAGTTCAAAGGTCATGCGGTCGGGCAGCCCCGTTATTGGCTTCGGAAAACGTCTCAGGTGCACCTGAGAAAACCTGAGAGATCAGGGGTCGCCTGAGAGTTTAGAGGCCGACCTGAGAGTTTAGAGGTCGACTCCAGATTTTTGTTACTGATGGCGTTCCATACGCGCGCAGTTATTACGCGCGCCGCCACGGGTGTCCGCTCGCGGGTTCTTCGCACTGAGTGGTATTTGGGACACGTGTAGTACTCAAGTAGGCGCTGCACGAGCCGCCCAGCCTTCTCTGATGAATCTGTGACAAGCCTACCTGCCAAAGAGTTGTGAGGACTGTGATTCAAAGCAAGGACACACGCCCCCTTCAAGCGGTATGTCCTCGAGTTCAATATTGTCATGATTTGTGATACACATCAAGGACTCCGGTAAAAAAACGCACTGCGCTTAAAAGGCGCTTAAAGGTTTAGTTACCGCAACCGTAGTAAACAACCTTCTGGCTGCAGCACTCTCGAATCGTGAAGAAAGGCCCTTTTGTCGACCAAGCCTCCAAGCGTTTTATTGTCATTTTTGGCATGGAATATCATGTGGAGTGTGGCAAGAGCGAGGTACAAGAGACTGATAAAGCTATATATACAGTGTAAGGGAGAATGGTATCATTGCACGTGCGTTCGGATTGATGATGATGAATACGGTTATCTGTCAGCCTCCGACGACTCATGGCCTGCAAAAACTGCAGCCTTCCTCCGTTTTAACAGCATCGATGCCATTGCCATTTTGACACACCAAAGCTCGCTGTACGGCAGCAATTTTATTGCAGACTGCTTTGGACTTACCTTTTTGGGGTTTATTCAGGTATTATATGATGGCCTTTATGTGGCATGAGCTGCTGGCTAAAAGAGGGGCCTAATGATGTTATATCTTGTCTTGCTCATTTTATTTTCAAGACCACTTTAGGAGCCAAGTGGAGCATATTTTGGGCAGATAGCTATTTAATTCGTCGCCATGTGTATTCAAGGCGTTTTTAGTCCCTGGCCACACATATGGCCCAACTGACCGAAACTTTGCTGTAATAGAAAAGTACGCTTCTAAAGATGAAGCGGTATATACCCCACAGCATTGATATTATCATGTTTGCAAAGCTGTGATCAGTGTTGGTTCAAGAGTGGAAGTCATTGAAATGGAGCAAGAATTCTTTAGAAATTAGTCATCATCTTCAAAGGCTATATACTGAACGTACGAAGGATGTGAATATTAAACCTTTAGAGAGCAGTATGGTTTAACTTTGGCAGAGGTGAAAAAAGAGTAAATGGAAAATTTGTCTCATTTGAGCACCCATCTGAAGTTTGGGTACGACATACCTATGACGTTGAAGAGGTGCCTCAATGTGTGTCTTTTCTCAAGAAAAGGGGAGCTCGGAGTGGGTTTGAGTGCATTCCTCCCCCCTTTACCATCAATATCCACTTCCCATTAAAAAGGAAAAAGCTGAAGATGTAAAAAAGCTGCTTTCAAGATATGTTCGTAGCAAAGATCAATGCTTCTACTCTGATCTCGCAGTGAACACGGAGAGTGGTTCTGACACAGCTACATTTAAAACACCTCACTGATATTGACATGTATAATTGGTAAATAATATTTAAGTATGGTGCACATTAAACTCTTCGGTAAATAACACCAACAAAAAACATTGAAAGTGAAAATTCAGGTCACGTGACTAAGTTGCCGGGAGTTACAAGTGAATATTTTGGCTAGCTTAGGAGCAGCACTTCCTGCATAGCAGTGATGCAAGACAGGAACCAGAACCTATCAATATAGGTAGAACTTGCAGAATCCCGCTGGGGAAAGATACAGCGCAGACGGTTAGTAACTTATGAAAAAAAAACGGGGTTACTTGTGACTGCTCTTGACTCATTACGCACCACAAATCGATTGGCATATGTACAATCCGCTTCCCCTGCAAGATATGGCTATATCACACGTCGTTCTGCAGTTTAACCTCAAAAACAGCGCCAGAGTCGGGCTACGACTGCTGTTCCCAACCTCCCCTGGGTCGCGGGTCCGTATACGCAAAGAGATGGAAGGTCAAAGTTCAAACGTCCCTACCAAAAATGCGCTACCGCGCGTCAATTAGAATGCACCCCCTCCGTAATCTTCATGTGTGCGGATTTATTACGCCACGCATTGGGGTCATGCCTTAACACCGCTGAGTATTGTTGATAATATGACTTGTGTGCTGGTTTGAAGTGGTCCGAGTAATAGCTTTGCACTGCCGAAACATACGCTCTTCCTGCTCTGTGTTTAGGAATCGAGGTGGTATTATGCTAGGGGAGAATGTGTTGTCATTGCGTAGAAATATCGACCAAACATTCTCCTTGTGACATTGTCTTTGGACTACTTAGGTGATCGGAACATAACTTGGCATGAACAAATGCAAGGTTGTGTAAACGAAGCACTGATTGTTTCGTCCGGTTTTCTGATGGGAGTAGAGTAGCTCTGTTATTTCACTGCAGTAGAAAGCAATGCTGTCAAGGAGAATCTGGTATTGTGTCTTGCAAGGCCTTAAGTATCAATATAGCACCTTTTCTATAGTCTGAGCATCTGAGTGTTTCCTTTCCTTGCACAGATTTAGAAAATGTGTCTATTCTCGCCTTTTAGTTGAGCTCTAATTTCGTCAATTAGGTGTTAAGATGACCCTTTAACATCATGTTAGTGGCTCTACTGGAGATATCCCATACTTTCAGACTAACTCTTCTACTGAGTCTCTGGGCATCCTTGCAGCAATGAAGGTACGTTTGTGATTCCTCTGCGCAACTCCTCAAAATCTCTCTTCGAGGTCTGCCTTCTTCTCCCTGCTGTGACAACGATCTATTGCTCAAGTCTACTTTTAGTTCGTGAACTCACATGCATCCAGTGGGTTTATACCTGTATGGTATACATTACAAAAAGTCACCATTACCCTTCATGGCAGTAGCCACAATCAATGTGAATGCATGCACACACTATACACTTACCCCCTTTCCTCCAAGCCTTCCCTTTGAGAACAAATTCTTGCCTCTCCTGCAGATTTCTTTTTGGGGCACGATAGCAATATGCTATATCTGAGAATCTTCCACTGTGTGCCCCACATCCAACACAACAATAATGCCCTCCCTGCTTATTTCCTGCTTCAAACTGTGCAGCAGGACCATCACCATGAAAAAGCGAACTCATGTCCGTGATTCTTGTCTTGTGTAGAAGAATGCCGGATCCTAGATTAAGGATACCATAACAAGAAGGTACCCATGATTAGCTATGGACGAGTGGTCATGCCATATTTTGATATGTCTTGCACGTGAAGCAATGACAACAGTATCATCTGATTCAGTAAAAGAAATATTCAGTTCTTCAAGACGTTGTTTAACCTCGTCATGTGTTAAACTTGCAAAGTAGGCATCGCCGTTTTCCCTCACGATTCCCATATTTTCATGTTCCTTTCTCGTCATAGCTTATAAGGGGTATTTCCGTGCACATGCTGTTGCTTTGTGCATTTCCAATGTGTTTGTCTGAGCGTTAACACTGAAAAAGTCGTATGTGGTAGGTACAACCTCCTCACCAATGGTTATCTCACCCGCTTCCACACGTGCTTTTAAGTGGCCTTCTCATTTTTGACTGTAGGAAATGTTACATCAGTGTGGCCATTGACCCTTTTTTGCACCTCCTAGCTGCCCTTAAAGGCCTTTGATTATTATTAGCTGCCGGGATATTGTTGTTACGCAAGTACTCTTTGATCATTTGTCCACCATTGCTACAGCTTAGTCCATTGTCTCTAGCTAGCTGAGGACCATTAACTACTTTGTCAGGTGGCCATGATAATGCCTCCTGTAACAGGTTTCTTTGTTCACCATCAAGGGAAGATCTGTGCGCTTCTTTTGCTTTGTGTGGCATCATCAATCAAGTCAGCTAGCCGCTTACGTGAGGAGCATGTTGTTAGACCTTCTGTTTTTCTTAACTTGTCATATGTACGCCAGCTAAGTCTGTTTTGCAGCACAAGCTCACTTGCCTGTGTTTCCTTCTCTTCTTCTTTATTTGTTGCCCAATAGCTCTTTTTTTCCTTCGTCTTTCTAGTGATGTTGATTTAAGCACCAAGTGTGACCTAGGTGTTTCTGCTAGGGCAGTTGGCAGTTTTTGCAGGCATGTTAACTGCTGTTTGCTATCGGATTTGCTCTTGCAGCACTTTCTTCCTAGCGATTTTGGAGAGGTGAGTTTCTTCAGATAGTGCTATTTTCATTGATGAGGGTGGTTTCACTACAGACTTTCTCACTCACGTATAGGTGCTGGAAAAGCTGCAGAGCAATTGAGGACATTTCACTGCATGCAGTACAGTTTTGAACTGTATGCCTACTCTCTCGTCCTCAGTAGTGTGTTCCAATTCTCTACATAAACATGTTAGCGTATGTACTCTTCATAGCTTGTGGGTGCATTTTCGTGAATGCTCTATATCGCAAGGAACTTGTTAGCTGCCATTTATGTGTCACTTTAATGCTGGAAAGTGCTGAAAATGTTGTTGTACTCACGTATCACTACAGCCCGAGGGGCCCGC